TGTAAATAATGTCAAGAGCGTAGATAATAGTGAAATGTAGTGAAATAATTAAAAATGATAGCTTTGAATAATTATTACCATGCTGATAATATAATTTATTAAACTATAACAATTCATTTTTATTCTTTTTCTTAACTTTTAGGTTCAGGAGTATATGTGAAGGTTTATTACATAAGTACACTCTTGCCATGTGGGTTTGTTGTACAGATTAAGTCATCACCCAAGTATTAAGCCTAGCATGGCTATGTTTAATGGCTGTGTCTAACAGTTGGCTTTCAAAATTCCTGAAAATTGGAAAAATGGAAAGCCAGGAGAAGCTGGCTGCAGAAACCAAAGTTCTTTCTGACTCTAAATCTTATTCTGGGGCATTTCTCTCAGGCTGAAAAATGTTTGGGGCCACCAGAAAAGAGACAATCAAAACTACTTTTTCATTCTTCAACAGGATCAAAGAAATTATCTCTCATAAGTGAGAGTTCTATGTGATCAAAGAAAGTGAGTTTCCATCAGAAATATTACATTGCATCGTCTTATTTGGTGCAAGGAATGAAACTGTAGCCCTGTCTTTCCTATCCATCTGTTTGAGAATTAGAGTTGAGGAATGAAATGTTTATCAAAGGGACATGTTTCAGTGCATTTACTTAAAAAGAGATAAAAAGTCAGACATTTTCTGATGGAAACATAAGAAGTCTTAATATCATAAGGATGTCAGTTCACATCAAATCAATTTAGTTTATAAAATCTGAATTCTAATGTGAAGAAACTTTTGAATGAGATTTAAGAAGATAGTTTTTATATTTATCTGTATTAGAAAAAAGATGAGTTTTTTCTCTTTCTTTTAAAAAATCTATTATTATTATTATTGTTATTATTATATTTTAATTTGGGGGTACATGGCGTATAAATTTATGGGTTATATGAGATGTTTTGATACAGGCGTGCAATGCAAAATAATCACATCATGAAGGATGGGGGTATCTATTCTTTCAAACATGTATCCTTTGTGTTACAAACAGTCTAATAACACTCTTTTAGTTATTTAAAAGTGTACATTGAAGTTAATATTAACTATAGTGACCCTGTTCTGCTTTCAAATATCGAGTTTTGAAAAGAGAACAATGATAGAGTTATGAAAATCAAGTGGAATGCTACATACACAATGCTTTGCTCAGAGATTGCTTTAAAAATATTACCTTTTCTTCCCCCTACCCGAGATGGAGTCTTGTTCTGTCACCCAGGCTGGACTGCAGTGGCACGATCTTGGCTCACTGCAATCTTCACCTCCTGGGTTCAAGCAATTTTCCTGCCTCAGCCTCCCGAGTAGCTGGGATTATGGGCACCCGCTACTGTGCCTGGCTAACTTTTGTATTTTTAGTGAGACAGGGTTTCACCATATTGGCCAGGCTGGTCTCAAACTCCTGACCTCGTGATCCACCCACCTCGACCTCCCAAAGTGCTAGGATTACAGGTGTGAGCCACCGTGCCCAGCCAACATTACCTATTTTTATATACACATCAGATATTAAATGGATCAAAACAATATTTATACTACATATGCATGGTGCAAAATATCAAAGTATAATGAATACCCACATACAGACCACACATCTAAAAACAAGGATTATTACCATTCATTTAGAAGTTGCCACTTATGCTCTTCCTGACCCTATCCCTTACCCCTCATCCTGCTCAGACGTAACTTGTATTAGTCCATTCTCACGCTGTGGCAAGGACATACTTCAGACTGGGTAATTTATAAAGGAAAGAGGTTTAATTGACTCAGAGTTCAGCATGGCTGGGAAGGCCTCAGGAAACTTACAATCATGGCAGAAGGCACCTCTTCACAGAGCGGAAGGAGAGGGGATAAGTGCAGAGTGAAGGGGAGAAAAGCCCCTTGTAAAACCATCAGCTCTCATGAGAGCTCACTTACTATCACAAGAATAGCATGGAGGAACCACCATCATGACCTAATCACCTCCCATGAATTGTCTCCCTCAACACATGAGGATTACAATTCACATAACAATTCAAGATGAGATTTGGGTGGGGACACAGAGCTAGACTATATCATAGCTACTACACTAAATTTTGTCTTTCTTATTTTTTGCTTTTCTTTATAGTTTTTTACACATGTTTGTATTCTATAGTAATTTATTAGGTAATTTTGGAAAATTTTGAAGTTTATTTAAATGAAACCATACTTATGTATTTGCCTACATGTTTTTATTTTTTCTGTGAGAACTTTTTGGGATTGAGTCATGCTTTGTATAGCTATAATTGAATCATTTTTACCATTGTTTGTTATTCCATTAAGGAATATCCCAGAACTTATTTACTGATTCTATTATTCATGTTCGGTTTGAATGTTTCTAAGTTTTTTTTTGCTCATACCACCAGCACATCTTTGAATATTTATGTCTATCCACTTGTGTTAATATAAAAATTTCTCTATTTCATCAATACAAGTGTTAATGGTAGGATCAAGCAGAATGTTCATTTTCACATATATAAAATAATGCTAAATTATTTTCCATAATGTTTACATATACTAATCCTTCACCAGAAGTACATAAATGTTCTGTTTTGTTTTCTTTATACCTTTATTGATATATAATCAGATATTTTTTATTTATCTCAAACCTGTGAATACACAAAGGTATCTTGTATTATTCTTGGCTTATATTTTCTTTATTAAAAATGAGGTTGATCATCTTTTCGTATGTTTATTTACCATCACGTCTCCAGTGAAGTGATAAACTTTCTCAGTTTTTTGACTGAAGTTGTCTTTATTTGCCCTTGTACTTGAAATACTTTTTTTCCAGCTATTGAATTCTTGGTTGACAAACATTTTCTCTTAGTTCACTGAAGGTATCTGGCTTCCATTATTGTTATTAAGAAGTCAGCAGCTGTCTAATTGTTGCTCCTTGAAAGATTCTCTCTTTTTTTATTTTCTCCCAGGATGCTATTAGAGATCTTTTATTTGGTGGTCTGCAGTGCTTAATTGTGAATTTCTTTTCACTTAACTTTTTTTGGATTTGCTTGGCTTCTTAAATGTGTCTTTTATCATTTCTGAAAAATTTTCAGCCACTAGATTTTCAAACGTAAACTTTCCTCTCCTTCTGAAACTTTGATTAGACATGTGATCCTATCATTTTGTCTTATATCTCAGTATTTCTTAATATCACTTAATATTTTCCAGCTCTTTTTCCTCTTTGTGTGACTACATTCTGGATATTTTCCATCAAATTATCTTAGAGTTCGTTACTATGTTCTTTTAGTATGTCTAATTTGTTGTTGATTCCATCCAAAATTTTTTATACCTCTTTATAAATTGTGAATTTATACATTTCCTAAAATTAAATTAACCTTGCTCTCCTGGGAGAAACTCCACTTTGTCATGGAGCCTAACATATTACTTATTATTGGATTTAATTCACTAACATTATACTTTATGTTTCTAATGAGATTGTATTATAACTTTTCTTTCTCCTACTTTCTTTAAAGGTTTGTGTATAAATAGTATACTGGACAGGATTTCTCAACTTCAGTGCTGTTGGTCATTTGGACCAGATCATTCTTTGTTTTGGGGGCTGTCCTGTACATTGTAGATGTTTAGCAGCACCCCTGGCTTCTACCCACTAAATGTCAGTAGTATCCACTATACCTGCAGTTATGATAGCCCAGACATGTCTCCAGGCCAGCCAAATGAACCCTCAGGAGGAAATTTGTCCCAGTTGAGAACTACTACACTTTTAAAATGATCAGAAAGACAAGGAGTAAAGCTTATCCTACAAAATGTATGGGCCATAGTCTTTCTAGCTGTCAAAGATAAGAAAGAGAAGTACTGTGAAACTGTCAGAATACAAGAAACAAAATCAACATTATATGCATTTTCTTGGAAGGGATCCCAGAACAGAAAGGAAAGAAATACATTTTGTGAAAGTTGTGATGTTGTATGAGTGTTGATTTTCCGGCTTAAGTGTTAGAGAGGGTTAAGAAGAGTGTCTTTGTTTCTGGAAAGTACACATAGGAGTATTTGGGCAGCAGAGTGGTGATGCATTATATCTATGGCTTGCTTTCATTTGGGTCAGAAAAATACTACTACTATTAATAGTAGAGACAGTGGGGAGAGGGAGAGAAGAATATTAAAGTGAAATACTGGCAGTAGAGAAATTTAAGTGAAGTTGATAAGATAGTGCTTTGTAGTGTTTTTCAACTTTCCTGTAAGTTTAAATTATTTCCTAGTAACTTATTTAAAAAAAATGTATGTTTCTTATTTTATGGTACATTGAAAATGGGTAAGTAAAACTTAAAAATTAGTATTACTGATCTCTTATATCAGATATTAGGTAACAAATGCCAGCTGATGAAAATCATCTGGTTTTGACACAAATTTAGTTATCTTAATTCTACAACCAAACCATTGAACCCACTTATAAACAAACCTCCAATGCAAAATTTCTCCTAGATGGTAAACAAAATGGTTAAATGAGTCTCTGCCTCTGACAAGCTACAGTTTGAGCTATGGTTTGCCACTATTAGCTAACTTTGGGAACATTACATTACCACTCTAAATCTCAGTTTATTCAGCTGAAGGTAAAATAAAAATAATACATATTTCATGCTTTTTAGCACTAAAGATAATATACATAAAATTTCTTTGCACAAGGCAATTCACAAATTGCATACAAATTTCACAGATATTGGCTATTAGTTTGTGAAGGTCTTTGATTAAGCAAAATTTTTCTTTGATAATACTTTAATCTTAACAGGAAAGTGGAGCTTTCATCTCCCAACTAGAGAAGTAATATGTTGAGTTCATTCACTCCAGCGTATAAATTAATCCTTTTATATTATTTTATAGAATAATTTCTGGTAGAGGACAGGTGACTGAGGGTCTCCTAGTCCCTGAAGGATATCTGGTCACTTACCATTGCTGATGGAAATCTTTCCAATGTAGCCTATTATCAATGAACTACAGGATTCTCAAATATCAAACTTACTTTTCTAGACTTCATTATTCCACTCTGTTGCCATTTTCAATGTTCAGTTATACTGAATTTCCATTTCCATTCTGCATACATGTTGTCTTCTTTTCTTTACTCACAATCTGCTGCCTATGTGAATTTTTCTCTCCCGCCTATTATCTTCCTTTGAAAGCGCACCCTTGTTCAAAGTGTGACAGGTGCTGCCACTTCTTTAGGCAGCATCCTAATCTAACCAGCTGGGATTACTCTCTCTCTTCCAAGCTTGCTCCCATAGTACATTCGGTTGCATAGGATTTCTGCACAGGAATCGTGAGTAAGATCCTCAGTGGTAGGCAGGTTTCAGTTTACAAATGACTCGTGTTCCATTGTGTGGAATGATAAAGAGATAGTATGAGTCTGCCTAAGCATCATCTGTGTCATGGTTCATGTAAACAATGCATCCGTTCACTCTTGCAACCAGGGCGTGAATTCACTCATTTGACTAGTACCATTACAGGGTGAAATAATGCGTCCACGTGAGGGCATAATACGTCAAGTGAGTGAAGATTCAATTGTGGAGTTTCTCACTTGTACCATCTTTATGTAAGACTGATAATGCTTGCTAAAAAAAAATTCTATTGTGCATTTAGCTTCAACATTACTTGTGTCTTATTTGTCCTGCTCTCTATGAAGTGCTTAAAGACAGCATCAAAATCATATAATAAGCAATAATAACTGAGGGTTTACTATATGCCAGTCACTGTGTGACGTACTTTATATGCATTATGCATATGTAAATAATCCTCGTTACAGCCATATTAGTTAGGTACCATTATTAATCCAAGTTTTCTAGTGAGGAAACTGAGTCTGAGAGATTTATTGTTGCCCAAGGGTTGATATACACTAATTATCAGAAACATGCTGGCTAATTCCAAAACTCAAATATTATCTACCACGTTATTCTTCTATAATGTTTATAAAATTTGATTGGATTCTTTTCAGGCCATGAAAATCAAATTGTGAAAAAACTTATTGTATCATTTTACCAGAAACATTTTACAGTAAATGTGTTACATTAATGGTTGCTAAGTTTGTTGAATTGCAAGGATTCTTTATGCCATGTTTATGGTTAAAATTCCTTGAACCATAATTGATTCATGTCTAAAGTCACGAACTATTCATTGTCTAAATTATATAAAAATTGGTTAAACTCAAATTGTGATTTATTGGCTCCTTCCATAAATGGAATCAGGAAGTTTTGACAAATCTATATCTGTTAGTCTGTAAGACATTTCCATTTATGTCTCAAGTAAATTGAGTAAGCTGCATTGATTGATGATATATGGTTTTTAAATATAAGACCACAGAATATAACATCTAAGTGATATGGCAAATATTTCAGAAAAAAAATAACTGAACAAAATGCATTCCTATTTCACACCATTGTAAAACCAAATTAAAATAATATTAGAGGAATTGCAAATAGGGAAATGCCCCAAATTTTAGTTTTATCTCATAATAACATTCCTTTTTTGAGATTTTTCTAGGCTTTTAATATTACCAAACTTCTTTTGCCTGAATAGTCAGTATATGTGTATTTATATTAGTTCTTAAAGTAATCCAACAAGCATGCACACAATTGATTAGTGTCATTAGAATCTATTTTATAAAACTGTGATTACACCATTTAAAAATAGGTATTTCATACTCAGCTCATGGAGCACAATTAAACCATTTTATGTTAATATTGTGTAAATGTGTGACTGAAATTTCTGCAGCACTCACTAATTATTTTATTGTCTATTAAAAATTCTAATGAACCACTTAATTGGGTATATATATTTTAAGTTTAAAAGGAAAACATTATGGCATACTTTGAGGAAATTCTATTCTTCTACTTTAGATTATATATATATGTGTATATATATATAATAATAACTGTCTAGGTAAGCTACTTTAAAGCTATTTAAATTGAACTAGCTCAAGTCAATTGCACCATACATTTAGATAACAGAATTTACAAATGTTTTGCTATAACTAGATTAAAAGGAGGTTAATGCTTCCATACAATGACTAAACTGGCAACAATTTTAATAGTAGGATCCACTAGGTTACGTAAGTCATTTCACTGTACAAATGTTCTTTGACTTAAGATAGGGTTAAGTCCTGAAAAACCCATTGTAAGTAGAAAATATAATTTGAAAATGCATTTAATACCTCAATAAATGCATCTTATGGTCAAAAAATCAAAAGTCAATCCATTGTTTGTTAAGGACTGTCTATACTGTAATTGGAAAGACAAGGCGTAACCTACTTTCAATCTTGAATATTTACACACCTCTCTCTGGCTATTTTTGGGTTTACCAGAAACATAGTTTGGCTACAATACAGACTGGAAATAATTAACATAAAATAAAAAAACTACTTTTATTGTTAAAAATATTATGAAGTTTGGAAAAATGCTCCAAAATAATTTTTCTTTCTAACTAATAATGTTATCTTCCTTTATCACTAGCTGCCACTCATTGCCAACTATGCATAGAATTTATATCTAAAATTGATTCTCATGGGTAGAAATTGTATCAAAATTAAAAGTAGCAAATGATGAAACTTTACATGCAAAATGGCTTATTACCCCACCATTCTTTTCATTCTCTGAACTCTCAAATCCTATCCTAGGAAGGTCAGGATCAATAGGATTTTGATGTGCTCCTGATAAAAGGTTTCTTGTGCAGGTAATGGGGATCCAGGATAGAAATATGAATATAATTTGTAATTAAGGATTATCTAATCATTTACATGATCAGAATACACTATGTTTTGCTAACTCAAATGCACTTTCACTGAAATGAAAATACTCATTTATTGGTGCAGTATAGCCATATTTCTCTGAAATAAGAATACTGGTGTGTCATTTATATGTGTATTTTACTCTAAATTATCACCATCAATAAACCAGGCTATTGGGTGCTCAATAAATATTTGGTAAGTTAATATTTATAATAAGACCTTTTCTCCCAGGAAGATAAACAGGGCATCATTTTTTTTTTTTGCTCAAAATTTCATACAGTCCTATCAGCAAAATAAATTATAAAATTTTAGGTAAAGCAATTTTCTCTCCACAAAGCAATTTTCTCTCTATCAGTCTGTTCCAACTCACACTTGGTGTTACAACTAGAAAAAGGGCCATTGTGGTAGCAGAAATAGTAAAACAAAGGATATCTGCCCACTTTAATTTTATACTGAGAACTGTATTGTTAAACAGAATTACAAAAGTATTTTGAAAATATCTTAAATATTTCAAGCTACAGTTGTTGTAATTGCATAAAGCACAAGTCCTGCAAACTCAATTCATATTTTTACATTTAGCATCTTAAGAATATTGGCTAAAAATAGAGTTTTGAAAAAAATCATTGATAATGGAGATTGAGTGCACATCGAGTACACTGCAGTTATTCTTCTCAAAATGCTGCTTTCTACTAGCATCAATATAATGAGGTGATATAAAACCATTGCTACCTCTGATTGGAACAATTTATTTGGCTTAGAAGCATCAGAGTATAGTGTTCTGGAATTTATAACTAGGTAGAAGAATTTTATTCTTATACTTAAAACCATTGAAAGTCTTACTTCACAAGATTATGTGCTTATGACAGCTCATGCAGTTGTTTCCCACCAACTTTTCCCGGTGATTTGCCATCCATTGATAACCATTGCTTGGGTCCTTGAAGCAGTCATTTCACTAGAAATTGCAAAGTGATGCTTTTCTAATTCCATTATTTATCCTTAATTTATTCTCTTGAAATATTCTACATACAATAAGTTTCTTTCTACTAGAGCTATTCTGCCAGCCTTAAATATTCATTCTAGAAAGCCAAAATAAATGCTTATACCTATCCATTTTGTTGTAGATTTTCAGGGTAATGGGTTGGTGCCTGTAGTAATCTCCACATGAGTTGTCCCCTTCCTTTTGTTCCCTTCCCTTAACTACTCATCCTCGTGAATCCCTCATTCTTTTTTACTAATGAATTTACAATTTTTATAATATATTTTATATGTTTAATCAATTTAATTATTATTTTCTTCAATGTTCTAAGTCTCTCTATTTAGATCAGCATAAGCTCTTTGTGATGGCTCTCATTATTTTGAACCGGCTTCTTTAATCTTTGGTATCTTTCTTATTTTCAGAAACAAAAAGATGGCCCAAGCTCACCTTATGTGTGTGTGTATATGCATGTAGGTGTTTATAACTAGATTTTTATACTATAAAAGAATTCACTCATTCAACTTTGAGTTATTATGATGACTGAAGTAGTCAAGATTTTTCTTAATTCATTGAATAGATGACAAATCTCAACTTATGGTAAATCACTGGAGTGGAGGGCATAAAAGGGGGTGGTATCTTGAATTGGAGAAGACAAATTTTGAGACACAGTATGACAACTTCCAGTTTCCATTCTGAGAGCTTGAAAGTCATCACTCATCCTCACAAGAAAAAAGCTGAACAAGCCAAAGTGACTTAAAAAGTCTGTCAGATAATTAAAGTAACAGGACCAACAGCATTCTCAAAAATTGGAAAAACAAGTGAATATATTATATACAAATAAGATTGCCAGAAGAAGAAGTCATTGGAACAGTTAAACCAAAACTTCAAGAAATTCCAGAGGGTGTGTATAGACTAGCTTGAGAGTTACAATCTCCCCCAGATGCCTAATCTAGAGAGATTTCTGTACTTTCCCAGGATTTACCTCTAGGATAAAACCCACCAGATTTTCAGATGAACAGGAAAAAACTCCAACATGTTTGGTCAGAGGGAAGAAATAGCAAAATTTTCTGAAAACCTAGAGCTTTGTTAACAACGAAGGCCAACTTAGCAAGGCAAAGACTTCATCAGAGCCTAGTGATTTCCAGCATGAAGGAAGGTGTTAGTCTTCATGTCTCATCCAAGGGAGACAGGAGGAGTCTGAGATGCATTTCTGAAGGTCACAGCCCAGGGACACACATCACCTGAAAGACTGAGATCTAATCTTTCCATACACCTTACTGCCCCCATCAATAAGGCTTCTGTAAAATAAGAATGGATTACAGTTAAAAAACTGAAAGATTCTGATTCTATTTAAGGAAGAAAAACCCAAAGAAAAACCCAAAGATGGCAAAACAAAACAAAAGCAAGGATATTACAGAAACGGAATCCTCTGACAAATACAGACACAGTGAACAGCAAACATAGCCTGTCTTGTAGCCAGATAAACATAACACTGCACACTAAAAGCATAGCTATTTCAGTTACCATTACTCAATACAGTATG